ACACTAAGAAATTTAAACTTCCTCTTCACCACCCAAGTTGCAACCAGGTAAATAGCAGGTTCAACAGCTATGCACTGCCTGTGAACTCCGTGCCAGATGCTGCTGAGTGGGAAGGTGGCAAAGGACAAAGCCTTTTAAGATACGTTTATGTATATTAAAATATTATGTATGTTAAAATCTTCCAATACCACAAAGGCCCAAACCCTGCTTTCATGGAGTTTACATTCTGGTGGAGGAGGCAAGTACCATGGTAAAACCACGAGACGCCACAAGGGAGACAGGAAGGGCGGGGAGGACCAGGCTGCATCTTAGCTAGATTGCTGGGAAGGATTAGCTTTCTGTTGCTGCTGGAACAAATCATCACAAGTTTATTATAGTCATCTCGAGGTCACAGTCTGTGGGGGTTCTTTTTGGGCTAAAGCCGAGTGCCAGCAGGGGTGGGCTCTTTCCTGTACTTGCTGGTGACCTCACGACAGTCTCATTGCCTAGACCTTATCACCACAGCTCCAACTCTCCTGCCTCCCGTCCCCATTATGTAGGACCTCCGTGTTCCCTACGTAATCCAGGAACAATATGTCCGTCCCCAAAGTCCTGACCATATCTGCAGTCACTTTTGTCATTAAGGTAGCATAGTCACAAGCTCTGAGGATTAGCATGTAGCCATCTCTGGAGGCCATTATTTGAGTCACCACAGCAGGCCTGCCTCAATGAGGTCAGTGAAATATGAAGGAAGAAGAGAGCCAGTCCTGATGAAATCTGTGTGCCAGGCAATATGAGCACAGGAACAGCAGTGCTAAGGCCCTGGTGTAGGATGCTGCTTAGTCCCTAAGACCACAGAAGGCCAAAGAGGACAGAGCAGAGTTAGCAAATGGTAGCTAAGGACTAGATAGTAGAGCGGTGGTTAGATCGCAACACAAAGGGCCTTGGAACAACTCTGACTTTTACGCTGAGTCCCAGGGTAGTTTAAGTAGTAAGGTGACACCGTCTGATGTGTTAACAGAACCTAGCTGCTGTGTAGGAAATGGCTTGAAAGTCGTGTAAAATGGAACAGGAGACCTGCATAATAGTTATCTATGGCTGCGTAACAAACTATCCTCAAACTCAAGCACTTTAAAATAGTGCTCTCCGATGTCTGGACTGATGCTTTGCTCCAGTGGTGACTGCTGGGGTTGTTTCCATGGTGCTTCACTCACCAGCCTGGTGCCCCAGCTGATTGGCTGTGGGGCTGGTCAGGCCTCCAACAGGGTTGTCAGACTTCTTATGTGGTGGCCCAAGCTACTAAGTGAGCTAAAGTGAAGCTACCAGGCCTTTGACAGCCAGCCTGGAATGGGGCCGCCGTCACTCTCCTTGCCTTCTCCTGGACAACTCAAGCTTCAGGGGCAGGGAAACCATCTCTCGGGGAGGTCTGACATCAACGTACAGTTAGAAGGGCATCTCCATAGAGAGTAGCTAGGAATCAGTGGTAAGAGAATTTGGAAAGGTTGACTGATCAAAATGTTTTATTGGCAGATCATAATAATAAGATTGGGTAACAAATAGGACCTTACGTCTTCTTGGGATGCCGTAACAAAACACTGTAGAATGGGTGGCTTAAACACAGTTTAGCAGAGCATGATGGTTCAAGCCTGTAATCCTAGCTCCTCAGGAGGCTGAGATCCAGAGGTTCGTGGATCAAGGCCAACCAGGGGGAAAAGCTCAGGAGACCTCTCAGTCAATAGCTAGGTGTGATGGTGTGCACCTGTCATCATAGCTAAGTGGAAAAGCACACACAGCAGGACTGTAGTCCAGGCAAGCCCAGGAATAAAGCAAGACCCTATCTCACTAACAGCCAACATAAAAAAGGGCTGGGGGTGTGGCTCAAGCGGTAGGACGCCTGCCTAGTAAGTGTGAGGCACTGAGCTCAAACTCCACAACCTCCAACAAAACAAAATAAAAGCCAATTTTATCTTATCAGCAGTTCTGGAGATCAGAAGTTCACCTGAGAACCAGCACTGTCATGCCCTGATGGCTCTTCCTGGCTTTTGGACAGCACTTTCTCTGCTGTCTCTCCCCTTGGTGTATGCCTGGAAACAGCTCACTCTCTTCTTACAAGGTTTCCAATCCACTGGACCAGGACCCCCCCCCCCCATGACCTCCCTTATTCTTAATCATCTCTTAAAAGCCCCACAGACAAATACATTCACTGGAGATTAGGGACACAACTCCGTATGTAACAAATAAGAGGCGAATATGAAAGAAAGGTCAGTCAGTCAAAGATGAGGTTTTGAGTCTGATCAACTGGAAGAACACAGCTAACTGGGTGAGGCCCTGAGTTCAAAAGCCAGTACTGGCAAAAGAAAAAAAGGTAACCGATTAGGGAATGCTGCTGAAGAGGTAGGTTTTGGATTTGTGACTAATTTGCTTATGTTCAGTTTTGGACATGTTAGTTTTGAGATACATGTTAGACACTCGGCAGAACACACAGGCAGTTTGGTATGTTTTCTGGACTGGAGATGTCATTGCAGACGTCATATTGCAGATGGCATTTAAAACCGGGAGAATGGATCCACAAGATGGTAGTAACATGGGGGAGAGAGAGCTGAAGCAACTCGATCTTAAGTTTGAGGAAACAAGGAGGAACATAAGGACTGAGAACTGGCTACTGAGGTGGAAGGAATTTAAGCCATGCTGCTGAATGCCTGTCTCTATACATCCATATGTATGCATTTGCAAGATAGAAAAGAAATGTTTCCCATCATTTTTTTTTTTTGTGTGTGGGTGGTCTTTTGAGACAGATCTTTTGTAGCTCAGGCTGGCCTCAAACTCTCAATCTTTTGTTTCATTCTCCGGGATGCTAGGATTACAGATGTGTACCACTATATCCTGCTCCATAATAATAATAAATAATAATAATAATAATAATAAATCTATGCTGGGGACATGGCTAAAGTGGCACAGTGCCTTTCTGGCAAGTGCAAGGCCCTGAGTTCAAATCCCAGTACCACCAAAAAGAAAAGATTTGCTAGGCAAGCACTCTCCCACTTGTGCCATGCGCCAGCCCTTTTACTTTAGTTATTTTTCTGATAGGGTCTCGCTTTTCATTTGACTGGCACTGGACTCTGATACTCCTATCTACATCTCCAGGGTAACTGGGGTTGCAGGAGTGCAGCACCATCCCTAATTGAATATTTGGGGAGGGGGTTTTACTAGCTTTTTGCCCAGGCTGGCCTCACACTGCAATCCTCCTGATCTTCAACTGCCTCCAAGTATTGTAGAACTGGAACATCATTTTTTTGTATTACATCCTAGAGTTGCTGAAAACTTACCTGACTTCTCAATACTACTCGGGACTCCACCAGGATTGTCTAAGTATATTCCTAGCACCCTCAAAAACGACTAAATAAAAATAAAAATGGAGAGCCAGTCATGGTGGCACACACCTGTAATCCCAGCAATCCTGAATTCTTAGGCCAGTCTAGGCTACATAGTAAGATTGTCTCAAAAAAAACCCCAACAAAATAAAAAATAAAAATAGTCACTTAAGATTCTGGCAATTCACCATGATCCCTCCACAGCCCAATTTATGTAGTAACTACATAAGGGAAATGTTGAAACGCACAATCTCTTAAGCACCTGCATTTCTTCCATTGCTTGACTACGTGATTTCCCCTGAATATCCACAATCATTTTTGATATATTTCTCCTGTAAAGGTGACCAAAGTGAGGGTTTATACTCTAAGTAACAACAGGTACAAGTAAGAGGTCTATTGAAAGGTAGGAGCACCATTCCAGAGGAAGATATTAAGGAAAAGTCTTCACCCTGCCTGGAGGTGGTAACTTTCCTTTAAAAACAAACGCCTGCCAACTATCAACACTATGTGTTTGTACCTTAAGCACAAAACGGCGAGACAGAGCAGGGATTTGCCAGAGATCCAAAGAGGTTTCCTGACAAAGGTGTAGCTACCTTTGACTCTGGGACTCTGGGGTCGCCTGGGGTAAGTGCATATGCAAATAGGTTCTGGGAACGTGCTCTGGGGAGCCACCACCATTAAATACTTTGTGAAGTCACTCCAGGCAGTGAGACTTAAGTGTTGACATTAACTGTGACAATGAGGGAAGCAGTGAAGGGCAGTTCGGGTAACAAATGGCTGAATGGGCCAGCTGGAGAAAGAAAAGAAATATGAGTGACCCAGGTTCTGGAAAGGGAGGTGTCGGGAGCTGCCCTTTTCAGGGATCAGGAAAACACCCTTTCCCAGACTACGGCCACAGCAATGGTCACCGGCTTCCTGGAGCCCAGAGGGAGTCACATCAAAACACTGGCACCAGGGTTGTCTTCCTTTTCCACACGTCGTCTGTAATCAAAAGCAGGGGGCAGAAGTCGCGGCCGCCCAATTCTGTGCTCAGCACCCCCAAGGCACGGTCCCCATCCAGAGCCGCGCAGGACTTCTGCCCTGCGGCTGGAAGACACCTTAGAGCTCACCCTGCGACGCTTCTGTCCCGGCCTTAGGTGACTTGCCGTGCTAGCGCAGACAGGTCACCTGCTGTCACAGACGTCTCTCTTCCTCCATCCCCCCGGCCCCCTCCATCTCTCTCTCTCTCTCTCGGTGCGCGGAAGCTCACTCTCCCCAACATGAACTCCTCCACCTCCTACAAGAATCCTACGAGGCGACCATCACCGCCCCCCACCCCTCGTTTGACCAATGGAGACACCGAGGTCCCACCACCAAAGCCTGCTTGGGACTTGGGACCTCCCCGCCCGCGAAGCCCCTGGAAAAGCGGCGGACGCACCCCGCGCCCGCACGGGAACGCAGCACGACGATCACGCAGGCGCGCAGCCGCAAGGCCGGAAGTGAGCGCGCCAGGAGGAGGTGCGCGCCCGAGGGGCCGGGACGCAAGCCGGAAGTGGTGCGACTAAGAGAGCGCGCCGGCGGCGGCGGCGGCGCCGGAAGTACGTGCGGCTGAAGGAGCGCTCCGCAGGGGGCTGAGCCGAGACGCAAACCGGAAGTGTGTGCGGCGGAGGGCGCCCCGCGGTTGCGCTTCCGGCGTGCGACACGTCTCGCCCGCCAGGCTTGTCCCGCGCTCGGTGGGCCGTGGGGGGCCGGGCCCTGCGTTCCGCAACCCCGCTTGCTGCGTGGCTTACAGACTCCGCGCCGCGGCGCGAAGGCCCTGCCGACATGAGCAGCAAGGAAGGTGGCGTCCCTGGCGGCTCTCGCGGAAGGGGAGGGTCCCGCCGTTCCCTGCCCTCCGCGAGGGACGCCCTCGTTCCTTGCATGCGGCGGGGCGGCTCTGGGTCTTCCGGGCCTTGTTTACCCCACGTTTTCCTTAAGTCTCGGATCTGAGCTTTTGTCCGGTTGGTACCGGATCGCGGCCCCGTGGGGGGACGGCCGGTGCCTCGGGTTGGAGAAGGAGGGCTTTGCTTCCTGGGCAATCTCGGGGTGTAGGGTCCCTACAGCGCCTCTTGTTTTCCCCGCCAGGATCGGGAGGGTTCAGGAAGAGGAAGCACGACAACTTCCCCCATAACCACAGAAGAGAGGGGAAGGATGTGAATTCGTCTTCACCCGTGATGGTGGCCTTCAAATGTAAGTTCCCCGAAATGGAACTTGTTGAAGGGCAGAGAGCCGGCGGCCGTCACCACACTCGGTTAGCCCTAAGAGTCAGTGCAGGACGTGCAGTTGTGAAGCTTCGTCTTCCCGATGCTTCCTGCTCCGTGTGCGCCCCAAATGTGCACTGCGAGGGCCTTGACTTCCCCGGCCTGGTGAGGCAAGCGTTGGTTCCACACAGGTGACAGTTACTACTAGGCATGCCACGTGGTTAAAAATTGACCTGGCCCTGATACTTTTCACCTGTCCTTTACTAGCATATAAATTTATACTTAGCGTGTATCAGTTTTGTTAACTAGACTTTTGTAGGCAGAATCTTTTTTTTTTTTTTTTTTTTTTCCTGTTGGTGGGTCTGGGGTTTGAACTCAGGCTTCCCAGTTGCAAAGCAGGTGCTCTGCCGCTTGAGCCACTCCGCCAGTCCAGTTTGCTTTGGTTATTTTGGAGATAGGGTGTTCTGAAACATTTGCAACAGACTGGCCTGGAACAGTAGCTAGGATTACAGGTGTGAGCCACCGGCGACTGGCTTTGTATCTTTGTTTTGATGTAGTACTTTGCACAGAATGGGCAGTCTGGTAGTAAGTCTTGTACACACACGTTCCCAGTCCCCCTTTTCACAGCCTATTAAGTTGCTCAAATTGTTCCCCATTTCAGAGTCATAAAACAAAATCCTTTGTGTGCTGTCTCCTTCCCTGTACCCTACCGGTTTCTGTGGTTCTGGAGTCTGGGAAGTGCTGACTTGCTGGTTCTGACAGTCGTCTGAAGGCTGCACTGGGGCTCAATGCACACAGCTGTTGACAGTTCGAGCTTCTGCCAATAAGCAGCAGTCCGTTCTTCTCCAAAGTGCAGGGAGGGTGTCTTCATGTATGTCATCTCGATTTTCCTTGCAAGTGTGAGTAAGGATGAAGCCACAGTCCCCTATGTGCTAATGTCAGAATCACATACTGTCACTTTTGCCACATTATATTTGTTAGAAGCAAGGCAATTTAAAAACTGCCTCATTATTTAAGTAGAGGGGAATTAGTGCTGCCTTTTAAAGGGAGAGGCTCAAGTAATGTGTGGACATCTTTAAAATCAACACGTACATACGGCGATATTCATAGATGTTAGAAAACCATCTGTAGTTGAGCAGAGCAGTGTGGCTGTCTATTGAGTGGAAAAACCAGTGGGTCAAGTGTTCTCCATACTTCATTCTCTCTCCAGTCAGGCCTATGGTGCTGTCTGGAGTTTCTGCCTGCCTTTGGGCACACAGTTTTTACGGGTTGGAGTTGCTTCCATTACCCATTATGTGGACCATGATTTTCTTGTAGCTCCTTGGTGACAAACATTACATTCATTCATTATCCATCCATCCAGTCCTGAAACATTACTGAGCCTCTCTTTACACGTTACTGAGTTGTTTCTGTCTCAGTCTCAAAGGACTGAGCCCCTTGAGGATAGGAAGTGTATCTCATCTAGCTTTCCACCCATAATACTCAACTCAGAATACTGAATTTGTTTTTTGGGGGTTTTGAACTCAGGGCCTTGTGCTTGCGAGGTAGGCATCCCACAATTTGAGCCATGGTCCCAGCCCTTTAAGTTATTTTTTAGATAGGTTCTAAGGATTTTTGGCTCAGCTGGCTTGGGACCTTGATCTTTCTATTCTTTGGGTAGCTGTGATTACAGACTTGCACCACCATGCCTGACTGCTGCTGCTGCTTCTGTTTGAAATACAGATTCTTGCTATGTAGCTGAAGTTGGCCTTGAACTTGGCGACCCTGCTGCTTTTGCGTCCCAAGTGCTAGGATTGTAGGTGTGTACCATCACATGTGGCTGAATTTGTTTATTGTCTTGAAGTATCAGAATAAAATCCTGGCCTAATTATTATTACAGTAATAAAAGGCCAAATGCATTGAGGTCCTTTCCAACTACTAAGTTGGTTAATAATTTTTCTTGTTTTTCCGTCATGTAGAATACATTTGGTCATTCCCCATAAGTCAGACAATTTCTTGGGTCTTTGGAGTGAGAATACTTCTGTAATAAAAGTTAAGACAGTTAAGTGGTTTGTGGATATTTCAGTGACTAAGGCTTGAGAATTCAGAAAGTTTACACTTAAAATTTTGCTAAATGAGTAGATGTTAAGTGTTCCCAATCATAAAAAAAGTTTAACTATGTGAGGTGATGAGCATGTTAATTAGGTTGATAGTGGTAGTAATTTCACAATGTATGCGTGTATCATGACAGCTGGGAAAATGACAGGAAATAGGGAAAAAGTTACAGAGTTTAGAAGTCTTGCTTTCTTTTTTGGAGATGGTAGTTTGGTATGATAATTTAAAAACTTACCTGAGTATGGTAATTAATAATTTTTGTAAGCAGCTAGACATTATTACTTTGAGATAACAGTCTCATGTTTACTAGGGCACCTGATCTTTTTACTGTACAGTGTGCTCATTTTGAGACTCTTGAGTGGTGAAACACCCATAAAGGCATACCTGTATTTAAAGAAACAGCATTTTAATTACTTTTGATTTCCAGGTACTTTAGAAATAAAATGATTTTGTCCTCTTCATTTTTATAAAATAGTAACTGCTTTAATGTGCATGACAGGTATTTTCAAGTGTGGATTGCTTTTGCCTTGTAGCTGTTTGTGTTCTAAGAAAATTAAGATCATTTCTTCCTGTTTTCTTTTCTTGTAAAAGTTTAAAATAAAAGCTTATTGATCTGTTGGCGATTTCAGAAAGGCGAGATCACACTAACTTTTAAAGAAATGAGCACAAGATGGGATAGTTAATGAACTTCTGTATTGCATTTACCTTGATTGGCAAATTTTTAAGATTTTGGTACTTTTGCTTTCTCTATGTATAAGTTTATATACACGTATACACACTGTTTCTTTTGAACTGTTGGAGAGTGAATTGCATTCATAATGCCTCTTTACTCCTTGACACTTAAGAATAAATTTTCTGGAAACAGGAGTATTCCTTATATAATTACAGTGCCTTTGTTTACTTATTTACTTATTTTTGTGGTGCTGGGTATGGGACCCAGGTCCTTGTACCCACTAAGCACGTGCTGTGCTCCTGAATTACCTCCCCTCCCCGCAGAGCATTACTCATCTCAGAGGACCTGGTGGATACAGCGCTTTCCTACAGCGGTGTTCTGCCTATTGTCCTGGCAGACTCCTGTCATGCATTTTCTCCTCTAGCCAGTACCTAGTACACCATCACGTATGCATTCACTTCCTGTCTCTTCTCTCCAGTTTCCTGGAATCTGAAACAGTTTCTCAGCCTTTCTTTTACGACAGTGACAGTGACAGAGATGTTGAAGAACATAGGCCTTATTTTCTGAAATATTCCTGCCCTTAGGTTTAGTGAGTATTTTGTCGTGGTTAGAGTCAGGCTGTGCTTCTGGCTGGTGCTACACACTGATGATTTGCCATTGGGGGCTGTTGCACAGGGACCACGTTACATAAGGCTTCTTTATTACTAAATGTAATGCATAATCATCAGTGCCTTAAAAACTAGTTGTATTTTAGAAAGCCCTTCTGGCAGCTGTAGAAAGGCAACATGGGCGGCTGAGAGAGCAGGTCTAGAGCACAGATGGAGCGAAAGCTTAGATGGGCGCTGCAGCAGTGAAAGCAGCGAGACAGATCAGCAGTGCTTTATCATGCATAATCCAGCAGCACTGGCATGCACTTGGAAAAACAATAGCTGAGCACCACATTGAGGACACGTCGCTTACTGTGTCAGAGGCAGGGAATGTGGGAATGTGGTTTACAGTTCCTTTTCAACAATTTACTTCCCAAGAGATGCATACCACCAGTTCAAAAGAAGTCTATTTCAAACTAGTGTATGCTCTTATCTAGTATGTTGTGTTTCCTGTGACTTTAGCTAGCAGTTCACTCAAGAAATGTTTTCTGAACACCTATACCAGGCACTGTGCAGTTCCCTGAGGATACAGGGGTGAAGACCAAACTTACCTTTGTGGTTAATCAACAAGTAAATATGCAAATAAATAATGTAATTTTAGTTAGTGAAGGATAAATGCTAAGGAAATAAAAAACCAGTGAAGCATGGGAGGGGAATACTGTGTGGGAGGGAGATGATGTGATTCTGGAGTATGTGAGTGATGAAGTGTGGCCATCAAGTGATCAGGAGAACGGTATTCTAGAGAGACATCAGGAAAGTTCTGATGCTGGTGGCTCATGCTTGTAATCCGAGCTACTCAGAAGGCAGAGATCAGGGGATAGCAGTTTGAAGTCAGCCAGGGCAAATAGTTTGTGAGACCCTATCTCAAAAAACCCCTTCACAAAAAAAAAAAGGCCGGTGGAGTGGTGTAGGCCCTGAGTTCAAACCCCAGCACCACCCAAAAAAAAGAAGGGCCTGGCTCTCCTGTGTGAGCCTGTGGTGATCTGAATGTTTAGAGGCTCTCAGTGTGGGATTGTCACTAAGTGTTAGTTGTGGATGTGTAAGTTACAAGATGGCAGCTTCTCATTGTAGAAAAGGTAAACAATTTTCTTCCAGTTAAATTTGCTTTTTGCTGTGTTAAAAGTATACTGCCAACACCCAACATCCCAATGGAGTCTTTAAAAAAAAAAAGTATTAGTAATTGCTTTGTTAAAAGTTTTCATAAGGAAATGGTTTTGGGCCTGTACCATCAATGGTATGGTGAAGATTTTTGATTTTTTTTTTTTTAAACTTGAAACACTTCCTGTTTAGTTAGTCTTAAGTTAGGCTTTCTGTAAATAAAGCTAATTAGAGTAAAAATATTTCAGTCCCAGTATTGGAGACGAAAACAAATTGAGCATAAGAAACATACAAAAGCCAAAAGGCTAAACAACAACAAACACAAAAAGAAAAACAAATTGAGCATAAGAGATGAAGGCTGAGTTACTATAAAAGGTAAGCAGATTGGTCATTATATTTAATAGATGAAGTATTCATCCAGTTTTGTCTTGAGTACTAACTGCTAATACAGAATCGGGAGAAAACCGTAACCATTCAGAATCAGACTGATGACACTTAAGGAAAAGAGTGTGAAATTTTCTCTGATGTTAGTAAGACGTGGTAGAATCACGAAATGCCTTGTTCCAGGAAAGAAAGTATGTGTGTGGGAACCTCTTTCTTATAGCTGCCAAATCTGTGGGACACTTGCGTCTCTTTTTAACAGTTGGACAGGTCGGAGGCTAACGACTATACATAAGTGCTGAACCATCAAAGATATGTATGAGCCAGCTGCAGACACAGCTGCCCTCAGCCCTGCCTTCTTGGGAACTCTTCCTTTTAGTTCTTCCCACTGTCAATTTCCCTCTTCCTAGATTTGTGACATCCTACCTGACTTAATTTCCATTTGACATTCACCACCAGCTCCCCAACTTAAGGTGCTGTCAATCATGCAAGTCCTTGAGTTTGCTAGGCCAAAGCTCTCTACCGCTCCAGCCACGCCCCATCCCTTTAGTTTTAATGTTTCTTACTGATCGTTTTTAGGTGAGCATTGCTGAGACTTCCTATTGATTCCAGAGTATTTTGTGTGCTAGTCCTCTAGCTGTGAAAGCCTGGCTCACATAGTGGATGTAATTCTCTTTTTTGCCTCTTTATTATTTTCTCGGAAATGGTTTAGTGTTTCTCAGGTGTATTACACTTACATATGCAGCAGTACTGCATGGGAAAGAATGTGAATTTTGCTTGGACTGATGGCTCACACCTGTGATCCTAGCTACTCGGGAGGCTGAGATCAAGAGGATTGCAGTTAGAAGCCAGCTCAGGCAAATAGTTCTTGAGACTTGATCTCGAAAATACCTAACATAAGAAAAAGCTGATGAAGTAGCTCAAGTGGTAGAGCATCTGTCTAGTAAGCATGAGGCCCTGAGTTCAAGCCCAAGTACCACCAAAAAAAAAAAAAAAGACAAAAACTTAAGTGTGAGCATGATAATTTTTTAGCTTTTTAAAAATTGAGAGACACAGTGGCCTTTATTTACAGAAATGTGTGCATGTTCATCGTAATCCATGAGTGCTGGATGTACAGTTCACAGATCTCTAGGGGTCATTAAGGACTCAGGAACTGTGCATTTCTTTGTGTCAATGGCACTTACAGAAAAATGCTAGCGAATTAGCATTATGACCACCACGCTCTGCTTATGTTACGGCTTCTGTGGGGCACACAACACCCAGAGCATTGTCTGTGTTGACATGTGACATGTGGTCCCCATGTTTGGAAGGCTTCACGTAACCAGTGTGCGTGCTGATGGTTGTAATATGTTGTCAGCATTTCAGCTGGAACTGGATGCTCGGCACGACAAGTACGAGAGGCTGGTGAAACTGAGTCGGGATCTAACTGTGGAGAGTAAGAGGACAATCTTTCTGCTCCATAGGATTACGAGGTAAGTGATCTTGATGGCTTGTGTGGCTTTTGTGTGATGCTGCTGTTAGAGTGTATTGTGACTTTGCAGATGTTACTATAAGCAGGTATTGGCAGTGAGTACTTTTTAATAAGTGTTTTAATAAAAATAGGAAAAATCCTTATTTTTGGAGCAGCTAGGGATTTTACATTTTGTTAAGATCACTTAGTTATAGCTTGAAAAATATATTAAGATTTGGGTTGTTCTCTTGAAGTTTTACTGGGGTAACGTGAAAATTTTAATATTAGATAAATGTTCAAATCTGGCTGACATTCATTTTTCACCTCCTTGCAGGCTGTCGTTCTGCATCACAGTGACTGACACTATTCTTTTTAATTTTTTTAATTTTTTATATTTTTTTTTGTTCGTATGTCCATACAATGTTTGGGTATTTCTCCCCGCTTCCCTCCCTTTCCCCTCCACCCCCTCTCTACCAGGCAGAAACTATTTTGCCCTTATCTCTAATTTTTAAAGAGAGAGTATAAGCAATAATAGGAAGGAACAAGGGATTTTGCTATTTGAGAATAAGGATAGCTATACAGGGAGTTGACTTGCTTTGCTTTCTTGTGCATGTGTGTTACCTTTTAAATTAATTCTTCTTGAACTAATCTTCTCTCTAGTTCCTGGTTCCCTTCTCCTATTGGCCTCTGTCGCTTTAAAGTATCTGCATTAGTTTCTCTGTGTTGAGGGCACCAAATGCTATCTAGTTTTTTAGGTGTCTTACCTATCCTCACCCCTCCCTTGTGTGCTCTCGCTTTATCATGTGATCAAAGTCCATTCCCCTTGTCGTGTTTGCCCTTGATCTAATGTCCGAATATGAGGGAGAACATAGGATTTTTGGTCTTTTGGGCCAGGCTAACCTCACTCAGAATGATGTTCCATTTACTTGTGAATGGTAACATTTCATTTTTCTTCATGGCTGCATAAAATTCCATTGTGTATAAATACCACCTTTTCTTAATCCATTTGTCAGTATTGGGGCATCTTGGCTGTTTCCATAACTTGGCTGACACTCTTCTTGTTGCCTCATGTTGTTAAAGCTAGTACACTGTTTTCTTATTTTACATTTTACACCGTGTTGATACTGTTGACTAATTTTTCCAAAGTTTCTCTTCTTTCAGCTCTGTGAGTCTTTGTTTCTGGGTTTTTTTTCTCTAGAACTTCACCATCTTATTTTTCTAGGCAGACTGTCTCTGTTTGGTGGATGTCTTGGCTGAGAAATTCAGGAATTCCTTCTGAGCACAGCTGAGTTTCCCTTTCTTTGCCTCTTAGTTCATTTGACCATCTTGCTTCACCTTTCTGTTCCTTGAGGAATAGGAGGTGTCTTCCAGACAGCTCCTCAGCTCACGTCCAGGTCCAGCTCCCAAGGAGAGATCCTTGTTACAACTCCACATGCCTCTAGAGGGATAGCTGTACATTATAAAGAATTTAGGAAAGCCCAAATGTCATTCATCAGCTCTTTGTTATTGTAAATATTATTGAAGTATCCCTTTCACTAATGTAAAACTTTTCTTTCTTTCTTTCTTTTTCTTTTCTTTCTTTTCTTTCTTCAGTGCTAGGAGTTGAACCCAGGGCCTCACATATGCTAGGCAAGAACTCTACCACTGAGCTGTACTCCGAACCCTACCTTAAAACTTTTAAGATAAACTGGGCTCAACTTAAGTGTCTCACGCCTGTAATCCTAGCTACTTGGAAGACAGAGGTCAGAAGGATCGTGTTTAAAGCCAGCCTGGGAGAATTGTTTGCTAGACCCTATTTCGAAAATCCCTAGCACAAAAAGATTGGCTCAAGTGGTGGAGTTAATGCCTACCACCCATGTGGTCCTGAGTTTAAAACCCCAGTTATTCCTTCCCCCAAAACAAACTTTTAAGGTAATCCCTAATGTTTTAATTTTTATTCTGTTAAGTGGAAACACGGTCACTGCAGATTTATTTATGTGACACTGTTAAGCTTTTTTTCCTTATCTAGGTTTTCTTGATCACTTAGCTAGTTCTTAGATAGCTCACATATAGTTGAGTTTGCATTATGGAAAGAAGCATCACACTTTTTTTCTTTCAGAACCAGTTGCAGTTCTAAAGCAGTTGGCATCAGTGTCCAGCCGTTTAAAGAAGTAAAAGCATAACACAAATGTGACAGGAGAATTTAGCATTTTAGAAAAAGCTATATTTTGTGCAAAGTCATTTTGTATATTTTCCACGAAAAAAATAACAAGTGCTTGTTTGAGAATAGATAGTGCAGTACTTTTTTCCTTCTTTTTAAACAGGGTCTCCTTATGCAGCCCAGGTGGCCTTGAACTAAAGACCCTCCTGCCTCACCTCCACAGTGCGGGACTACAGCAATGTATTAAAATAGTACTCTTTTTTTTTTTTTTTTTTTTCCCAGTACTGGGGCTCAAACTCAGGACCTTATACATCCTAGGCAGGCGCTCTATCACTTGAGCCACACCCCCCAGTGTGAAAGTTCTGCTCTTTAGAAAGATGATAGAAGAGTAAGACTCCTTAACAAGTCAGCAGTCATAATACTCTAATGTAGCCACTGTATCAATTAGCAAGTTCCATATTTTGTTATAATAATAGTGACTATACTGTACATAAAGTTTTGACTAGTAAACTGAAAAAATTATAAACTAAAGGAAAATTAGAAAGTTCAGAAAAGTAGAAGTACTATCGCACACAAAGATAACTACTGTTATTGAGAAGATTTCTTTTTTTTTTTTTTTTTTTTTCCCGTAGTACTGGGGCTCAAACTCAGGACCTTATACATCCTAGGCAGGCGCTCTATCACTTGAGCCACACCCCCCAGTGTGAAAGTTCTGCTCTTTAGAAAGATGATAGAAGAGTAAGACTCCTTAACAAGTCAGCAGTCATAATACTCTAATGTAGCCACTGTATCAATTAGCAAGTTCCATATTTTGTTATAATAATAGTGACTATACTGTACATAAAGTTTTGACTAGTAAACTGAAAAAATTATAAACTAAAGGAAAATTAGAAAGTTCAGAAAAGTAGAAGTACTATCGCACACAAAGATAACTACTGTTATTGAGAAGATTTTGGTTATTTTTTTAATAGATACGGACATCTTTCTTCATTGAGTTTTGATGGTTTGTGTTTTTAAGGAATTTGTACATTTCCTCTGAAGTTTTAAAGTTGCTCCTAATACCCTTTAATTATCCTTCTAATGCCAGAAGCTGTGTGATACCCTCTTTCATTCCTGATTTGTGTTGGTGTTGGTGATTCATGTCTTCTCTCTTTTTCCTGATCCCTCACTGATGTTCTTTGTATTTTGGTATTCTGTGCTTGTTTTTCCTTGCCTCCTCTCTGCTTCCTTTGGGTTAATTTGCTCTAAGGGGGAGCTGTGTGCTGGCTTCTTTCCCTGCACAAGCTGCTTTCTGTGTGTCTTTGCAAGTCACTAAGCCCCGTGTTAGCTGCATCCCACAGACGTGATGTGTCGTTTTCTTGTTTTCCATTCAGTTCAGATACTGTACATTCTGGTTTTGCCTTTGGCCTATGGCTTATTTGTGAGCATTGTTTCTGATAAACTGCAGATATCTTTCTGATTATTGACCTCTTAGTGAATTCCATTGTGACTGGATTTTTTTTTTTTTAATTGATTTACTTATTATTTTATTTTTGCAGTGCTGGGAATTGAACTCAGGGCATTGCATATGCTAGGCAAGTACTCTTCCATTGAGATATATCCCCAGCTTAAGGACATATTTTTTAGGATTTGAATCATTTTGGGTAGACTGAGACTTTCTTTTTGACCCAGAATGTGGTCTAGCTAGTAAATGCTCTGTGTTTACTTCAAAAGAGTATATTTTGCTGTTGGATACGATGTTTTATGAGAAGTCACTTAGGCAAATGAACCCAAAAATCTCATAGTGTGAGATGTTTTCTTGATTTACAAAATGGAAAAAGACTTGCGCCTACCCTACAGTTTTCATTCCTGAGGTTTATTCCTTGCTATGTATACAGATCCAGATTTCCTGTGGAATCATTTTCCTTGTTTTTTTTTTTTTTTTTGTGGTACTGGGGTTGAGCTCAGGGCCCTGTCATTGCGTGGCAGTGCTCTAGGACTTGGCCATGCCCGAGCCCCTCACCTTGCTTTTGACTGAAGCCTCTTTTTAATGTCCTTGTTGACTTCTGCTGGCCGTGAGTCTGCTGCCCCTGGCTCTGTGTAGACTGAGGGAATTGTACTCTTGCTCATGTCGTGTGGTTCTTTCATAGCCTGGGGTGGTTTTTTTCACATGCCTGCAGTGGTCAGTTCTCAGCTACAGACTTGAGAAAGGCATCCTTTCTGTGGGTTTCTGAAGCACACTCTCTTCTTGCATTGTTTTCCTCATTGTTACTCTGCCCTGTGAACTTATCTATCTTGACCTCCTTAAACTCCCAACTTTTTTCCAACTCAGGCTGATTTGGGCTCTGCCTCAGTTACCTGTCCCCACATTGTCACTTGGCACCTCTCACAGGGTATGTGTTCACCTCCCGCATCACTGTCCATACTGCCTTAATCCAGTGTCAAAGCCATAGTTCATCATATTTCTTTTTCTTAGTTGTTTAAGGTGGAAGGCTGCACTCAGTCTTCCACCTGCTGCTGGTTCAAGCAGCATCTTCGCTTGTCTTTCTAGGGATAAAGGTTTGCAGTCATGATCGCACTTCAAAGCAGTTTTGTACGCCTTTTCATTTGACAGTGTGTTATGGCATTTCCATGTTCTGAGTATGATTAATAAATGCACTTGCAGCCATGAGTTAGGAGTACCTAATACATGCACGTATTTTCAGTTCTGTTCTAATTGATACTTACGTTACTTCATTATTCAAGCATCTGGCTGATATTCTGAAAGTTCTCAATATCTTGATTATAGTACTCCTGATATGGAAGAAATATTGACAGAATCAGAAATTAAGTTGGATGGTGTCAGACAGAAGATATTACAGGTAGCCCAGGAGCTAGCAGGAGAAGACATGCATCAGTTCCATCGAGCCATTACTACCGGTGAGTTCTGGTTTACTAGAGTGCTAACAGCTTGTGTTTTATTTTGGCGGTATGTGAGGCAGGTGCTCTACCGCTTGAGCCGTACCCCCAGTCCTTTTTGCTCTGGTTATTTTGAAGATAGGGTTTCACTTTTTGCCCAGGTTAGCCTGGATTATGATTCTGGTTTAGGCTTCCTGCTGTAGCTTGAATGGCAGGCATGCCACCACGCCCAGCGTTTTTCTGTTGAGATGGAGTTTGATGAAGTCTTTTTTCCCCCGGCTGACCTAGAGCCACTATCCTCCTGATCTCAGCTCCTATGTAGCTTGGAATGGCAGGTACCCAGCTATTGGTTGAGATGGGATCTTGGCACCTTTTTGCCCAGGCTGGCCTTGAACCGTGATCCTTCTCATCTCAGCTTCCCAAGTTACCAAGATTGCAGGTGTGCGCCAGGAGCACCCAGCAGAGTGGTAACAGTTTTTAAAAATAATGCCCTACCTGATTGGCATCTGAGTGCATCAGTTGTAGTTGACATCTGGTGAGATACTGTTGTGTGCTTTGAAAAGACTGGGACTTTTGGGTAATGTAAGGTGATCCGAAGCATTCAGTTGACTTTATCTCCTAACAGTATGTAGTAATGGCTGCTGATGATTTAAATAAAGCCATTGAGAACACAGACTTAATGAACTTTTTTCTTGAGGGTGTGTTCTCCTTTCTAACTATAAGCAAATCTCAGGAGGCTCTTAAGTTTTTACTTTGGTAGGTTCATGAAAGAATACATATCACTTAGCCTGGTGAATCCAAATGTGTGACTCTGTGTCTGGAGATATTAGGATGTTAGCACTGCGTTTCAGATTCTCACTTAAGAATGTTCATGAAGTATGCTGGTGTTTGGAACCCTGGTGGTTATCCATTTTCAGATTATTTGAATAAATGTGCAGAATTCTCAGTTCTTTTCCTCTCTCTTCTTCTTAACATAAGCTTGACAGGTTAGATGTGTCATAAGATTTGCAGGAATGGGAAACAGTGGGACGTGAATTTACTTGGCGCCTGTCTAGTTTTAGTCTAAGCTTTTACAGTGCCAGCCTTGTTTTCAGAAGTGTTGAGGTGTCTTTCAGTATTAGTAACAGAAGGTGCTTGTGTCTGCAGATAAACTCCGGGGTGCGTTACTGGAGACTGCAGTGATAACGTGAGCGGTTCTGTGAGAGTCACTGCTGTGGGTTCCCAAAGCTGCCACAGTCCATCATCATAATACATTAGTTTTAGGGGTTTATTTTGCCCACAATAACAAACATGGTTATTGAGTTCAGTTTGTGTTGTGAAATGGCACAACCTCAAATATGATGAATGTGGCCAGAATGAGGAGGAGACCAGAGGGACCAGTGGGAAGAAGGGTGAAGGGAAACCTACCAGGCCTGTAGAGAAAAATGTATGGGAAGTTTGTGGTAGGGAAGATGGATCAATTTTGTTTATCAAAGATGTAAAAAGTGAAAAAGTAAGCTGAAGTGTGAGAAGTCGTTAAAAATACATGCTGGATAAAGAGTTCTGGCACACAGCAAATTTCAAAAAGGAACGGAAGCTTGCACAAAGCCTCAAGAAAGAGTCTGTCTACATGGCTAATATGCACATGGGCAGGTGGAGAGCACTGCACTTTGTTACCAGCATAGCACAGCCAAGCCCCTCACTACGGCGTGGGGAACCTACAGACTGGCAGTACCTCTTAACCAGCACTGCAGTAGCTAAGTAGCTGTGTACTCACGAGAGGTGGACTTTATATGTCCAAGAGAGCTGATAGCAGCTAACACTAAGCATGGACTAACACATCTATCAACAGGAGAATGGATACATAGATTTTGGTGTAGTTGTTCAATGTAATACTACATAGTAGTAAAAAAGTAGAATGAAAAGTAGGAATCTGACAGACACCTTGGGCAAAATAAGGAGACATAAGAGAGTACTGCTGTGTAATGATGCCCTCTGACGTCATGTTCTGGTGCAGATGGACTGATCTGGGGATACAGGGAGGGCGGTGGTTACCTGAGCTGGAGTTAAGGGCAAGGCGTGAGGAACCTCCTGAGACGTTGGACATTTTTATGTTTTGGTCTAGGTACCAAAGGCTACCAAGGTGAATACATAGAGGAATTCACTTAGGATTTATGCACTCAAGTATAACTCATTGTTTTAAAGAGTGTTGACTCGTGAGTTCTTCATTCCTTTTTCCAGAGAAGTTCTTCATCAGAAGGTTCCATTGGTCGTAACTGTCTTCTGACGTGCTATGGTGCACATGTAGGTGTGTGTAGTGAAAAGGGCCCTGACATTTACAAGAGTGATGCTGTCTGTCAAGACACTTTGGGTGAGGGGTCCCTTGGGTACTCTGTCATTCCTCTTTGGTTGGCAGGTCAGACAATGTTAGTGGCAATTTTTGCCTTACGCTGTTTGATCTCCTGTAACTTTGATATTCCTGTTCTGGTGGAGGTGGGGTAGGGAGGAGGTGGGATGGGAAAGAGGTGAGCTAGAACTTGTCAGTTCTTGGATTGTTTGGGATCTAGAAGTGGCATCTTCTGGGGTGCATATCAGGAGCGATTGTGTACAGCCAACAGGCCTGCCCTGTCCAAAGGAAACTGATTTCCCTTGGCTGTTCCTCCTCTGCAGCTGGAGCAGTAGCCAAAACGACACTGAAGACGGGCCTGCAGCAGGAAGGTCTTTCCCAGGCACTCGCTCTTCTCTCTGTGAGGCAGGTGCTGGGTATAATCTCCAGGCCTGTTAGATGGTTGGAGAGCCAGTTGGGCCTCTCAGGGTCCAGAAAGTCCTTGATTTGAAGAAGCAGTCTGGAGTGTGATACTTGATGAGAATGAACAGAACTCTCATTGTGTAGCTTCTTCAGAATATCCTGTTAAGTTGGATGGTTAAAACCAAGCGTTGCCAGGTGTTGGTGGCTCACACCTTTAATCCTAGCTATTTAGGAGGCAGAGGTCAGGAGGATCTCTCGAAGCCAGCCCAGGCAAACAGTGAGCTTATCTTATTTAAAAACAAACGAAAAACCTGACCATAGCAGTCCTCATTTTGAGTAATCCATTCTTTTTGGGGGTCAGTATTAGTGTTTGAATTCAGGACCTTACAATTGCTAGGCAGGTAATCTACCACTTGAGCCACTGTGCCAGCCCATTTTTGTGTTGAGTATTTTTGAGATAGACTCTTGCAAACTACTTGCCTGTGCTGGCTTCAAGCCTTGATCCTCCTGATCTCTGCTTCCCGAGTAGCTAGGATTATAGACATGAGCCGTCAGTGCCTAGCTGACTAATCCATTCTTAAAGTTCTTACGTTTTTATAAAAAGCTTGCTTACTTTCTTTACAGTGTACTTCCTGTCTGGATTAAACTCAATTCCCTCCTGGTTTATGGCTAGTGTCTATGAATTCTGACACTGAAGGTGCCCCAGATATCTCCTGGGGCACCCTGGGTATGCCGTATTTGGCACACTAGCCCTAGTCTTCACCTCACATCCTTCATGCACTGAGTAGCGTATAAGGTAAGTTTAAGTAGACAGCTGTACATTCAGGGCTGTGGTATCTTGTCAGTAGTTCCTTAGTACAGGAAGGAAGCACTGCAGTCTTGGAAAAGTCTAGGTAGGACATGAATGAAATGGAGCTGTCCCCTTCAGACCTTGCCACTTCACTGCATCATTGAGGGTTAGTATGAGCACACAGTCTGTTTCAGTCCTTTGTTTATGTTTTGTAGAGTTGTTTGAGAATACCCCCATGGGTAAAAAAAAATAATGTTCCCTGTATCTCATTTTCTGTAAAAAGTCTTTAAAATGAAGTTTTTTTAATTGAAGCAATAGCTTCTTAAGGAATGAAACCCATGGGTAAAAAAAAATAATGTTCCCTGTATCTCATTTTCTGTAAAAAGTCTTTAAAATGAAGTTTTTTTAATTGAAGCAATAGCTTCTTAAGGAATGAAACAGTAAGAGTAATATCTGGGACTTGAACAATTTGCTGATACGGTATTTTGGTAAAACAAGCTATTTAGAATTAGAGCAGTGTAACAATGGATGCTTAGGAGTAGCTGCTGCTTGTAAGTGTTCGGTGTTTGTTTTGGTGTTGCTCCAAATGGTTGTTTTTGGACTTGAAGGTAGCACAGTTCTGGCATTAAACTACAGGAGTTCTGTGCTTTAGTAAGAACAGTACCAGTGGCACACAGCATCTCCCTGAAGGACGTGTGTGGTGTAACAATGGATGCTTAGGAGTAGCTGCTGCTTGTAAGTGTTCGGTTTTGTTTGGTGGTTGCTCCAAATGGTTTTTTGGACTTGAAGGTAGCACAGTTCTGGCATTAAACTACAGGAGTTCTGTGCTTTAGTAAGAACAGTACCAGTGGCACACAGCATCTCCCTGAAGGACGTGTGTGCAAGCGTCAAGCGTCCTCATACCTGAGAAGCAGCCTATTTCTCATCAGAGTAGGCTACAGACTGTCCCCAGGATGCGGGCGCAGTTCAAATAAGTCACTAAGAAACCTTGCGCTCCTGTCGTTTTCCCTCCTTTTGCTGAGAGATGGTTTGTATCTCTAACAAAAGCTACTTTTTCTTTTAGCTAAATTGGCATCACTGGTAATCAGAAGCGTTGCCACTTTCTGAGGCATATAGGTGCACAGAGCAAATGTTTAGACCCTGAACAATGCTTTAATTATTTTAGCCACAAATGACTAGTAGCTTAGAGAGATTTGTGATTTTTGTTGTTTGTAGGCAAGGTCTCAGTGTGCTGTGCACACACTCCCCAGCTCAAGCCCTCCTGCCTCAGTCCTCACGTAGCTGGGTGCAGCCACATGTCACTGTGCTCAGCTTGTTAGGCACTTTTTCTTTTTGTCTTAATTCAGTGATTTAAAATTTGCACACTATTATATATAACTTTTAACATTTTTGTTAGCATGTGATAGCTGTACAGGGGTTTGTTGTGACCATTTCCATACGTACTTAGCAGTGTACCTTGACGAGGTTCATCCCCTCCATCATTTTGCCTCATCCCCTCCCTGC